GGTGAAGAGATGCTTGCGGTGGGAGTCTGGATGAGAACCGTGGCCAACCCGTCCAGACCAGTGGCAGTACCGACAAGTGTTTGAAGCAAAGAGCCGGCATAACCACTTGTGACTGTTGTATACGAGACACCAGAAATAGTTGAAGGCGAAGAGATGCTTGCGGTGGGTGTCTGGATAACAACCGTAGCCAGGCCATCAAGGCCAGTAGCAGTGCCGACAAGCGTCTGGAGAACAGACCCGTCGTAGCCACTTGTAACTGTTGTATACGAGACACCAGGGATAGACGATGGCGAAGAGATTCCTGCCGTAGGTGTCTGCACGAGGACTGTTGCCAGCCCGTCAATGCCGGTTGAGGATCCAGTAAGAGTCTGAATAAGTGATCCGTCGTACCCACTCGTAACGGTGGTGTACGAAACGCCAGGAATAGACGAGGGCGAAGTGATGCTTGCAGTGGGCGTCTGGATAACAACAGTGGCTAGTCCATCGATGCCAGTTGAGGATCCAGTTAGAGTCTGAACAACTGATCCGCTGTAGCCACTTGTGACTGTTGTATACGCGATGCCAGGCAGGGCCGTCGCGGTTGGTGTCTGGATAACAACGGTGGCTAGTCCATCAATGCCAGTAGACGATCCAACAAGAGTCTGGACGATCGATCCGGCGTAACCACTCGTAACTGTGGTGTACGAAAGGCCGGAGATGGACGAGGGCGAAGTGACGCTTTCAGTGGGCGTCTGGATAACAACAGTAGCTAATCCATCAGTTCCGGTAGATGATCCGATGATAGTCTGAACGACTGAACCACTGTAACCACTTGTGACTGTCGTATACGCAAGGCCGGGTAGGACTGTTGCAGTTGGTGTTTGAATGACAACAGTAGCCAATCCATCGATCCCAGTGGATGATCCGATGATGGTTTGCACGACTGATCCGCCGTAGCCGCTCGTGACTGTCGTATACGCGAGACCAGAGATAGGTGAAGGCAAACCTGATGATGCCGAAGGGGTGACAGCAGTAGGAGTCTGAATAACCACCGTAGCCAGCCCGTCGGTGCCGGTGGACGACCCAACCAAAGTCTGGACGACTGACCCATCGTAGCCACTCGTCACAGTAGTATACGAGAGACCAGGGATGTTTGAAGGCAAACCTGATGATGCCGAAGGGGCGACAGCAGTAGGAGTCTGAATAACCACCGTAGCCAGCCCGTCGGTGCCGGTGGATGATCCAATCAGAGTCTGGACGACTGATCCGTCGTATCCGCTGGTCACAGTAGTATATGAGAGACCAGGGATGTTTGAAGGGGACGCTGATGAGGGTGAAGAAATGCTTGCAGTGGGAGTCTGGATAACAACAGTAGCCAGCCCGTCGATACCGGTGAGTGATCCAGTCAGAGTCTGGACAACCGACCCATCGTAGCCGCTGGTCACAGTGGTATAAGAAAGACCAGGCAAAACTGACGCAGTGGGAGTCTGGACGACCACGGTTACGAGACCGTCGACCCCAGTAACCGAGCCCGTAGAAGTGGCAGTGATGGACCCATCATACCCAGTGGTGAGGGTAACGAAAAGCCCAGGGCTACTGGTGGCAACTGGCGAAGAGATGGCGGTTGGCGACAAGACGAGGACGGTGACCAAGCCATCGGCGCCCGTGAGGACGTCCGTCTGTGTTGTGATGACTGACCCGGGGTAGCCGCTGGTCAGAGTCGTGTACTGACCGCCCGGAGCGCTTGTGACACTCGGGACTTGGACGAGAACCGTTTGAACCGGAGAGCCGTTGACAGTGCCCAGGGGCAGACTCGTGGTCTGGGTGACGGAGCCATCGTAGCCGCTGGTGACGGTGGTGAACAAGACCCCGTTCGCGACAGAGGCGGTAGGGACTTGCACAAGAACCGTCTGCACCGGGGATCCGCCGACAGTCGCCAGCGAGAGACTCGAGGTAAGGGTGACGGAGCCGTCGTAGCCGCTTGTGACAGTCGTGTACAGGATGCCGCTGGCCAGGGTTGGATCGGGCACTTGCACGACGACGGTGCCAGGGTCTCCGCTGTTGGCCGGCGGGATCGTGGTCGTCAAGGGATCAAGGCCGGTGAAGCCACTGCTCGTGACCGTCACGTACGAGGCGGCCTGTACGCCGATCAAGCTTGAGGGGACTTGAACAAGGACAGTTCCCAAGTCTCCAGGAGCGCCAGGGGCAATGGTCGTGGTTTGGGGGACCAGCCCGGTGAAACCACTGGTGATGGTGGTGTAAGGGATGCTCGAAGAGGCGGTGAGAGGGACTTGAATGATAACCGTACCAGTGCTGTCTCCGGCCGCGGGGTCGAGCGTGGTCGTCGCAGGGATAGAGCCAGAGTAGAAGCTGACGATGGAAGTGTAGACGATGCTGACGCTATTCGCCGGGCTCGACGTGGCCAAGACGTTGGGAAGATTGACGATGACAGTTCCAAGGCCGAGGGGATCGCCGCTGGATGGTTCAATCGTCGTCGTGGCAGCCACAGCTCCGGTTCCAGTGCTGAAGATGGTGGTATAGGATGGACTCGACAATCCTGTGAGGTCGTTACTTGACAATGCCGACTGGGGAACCTGGACAAGCACGGTGCCGATGCTTGCGATATCGCTAGGATCAGGGAGAAGTGTCGTTGTCTGCGTAACGGAGCCAGCATATCCGCTTGTGACGGTTGTAAAGATGCCCGGCAGAACGCCAGCACTTGAACTTGGTGCGAGTGACAGTGCTGACTGAGGAACCTGAACAACGACAGTGCCGATGCTTGCGATATCGCTTGGATCAGGGAGAAGTGTTGTTGTCTGAGTAACAGAGCCATCATATCCGCTTGTGACAGTCGTGAAGATGCCAGGCAAAACTCCGGCACTTGAACTTGGCGCAGGTGACAGTGCTGACTGAGGAACCTGAACAACCACGGTGCCGATACTTGCGATATCGCTTGGATCAGGGAGAAGTGTCGTTGTCTGCGTGACGGAGCCAGTGTATCCGCTTGTGACGGTCGTAAAGATGCCGGGCAGGATACCAGCACTTGAACCGGCACTCGAACCGGCGCTCGAACTTGGCGTGAGGTCAGTGGGCAGCAGCTGTGAAGATGCTGGGGAAGAAGGCTGGAAAATGATGACGGTGCCAACAGTGTCAGTGCCCGAGGGCGCGGCTGTGGAGATGGAAAGCGCCGCTCCATTGTAGATGCTGGTAACGGTGGTGTACGACGAGACCCCCGGGATAGAGACGCTCGAAGCCGGGACGAGCAGGACGACCGTTCCGACCGTATCGGCGCCGGAGGGTGCTTGGGTCGACGTCGCCAGCAGAGACCCGGCGTAAGTGCTGATGATGGTCGTGTACGAGACAGTGACGCTGGGCGTCGCGGAACCTGTTGGCTGCAGAACGACAACGGTGCCGATGGTGTCGGCGCCCGCAGGCAGGATCGTGGACGTGGCAAAGACCGAGCCACCATATCCGCTGGTGACAGTAGTGAATAGGCCGGCGTCGGATGCCGCGATGGACTGGATGGGTTGCAACACGACCACGGTGCCCGGCTGCCCGGAGACGGACGGCAAGATGGTGGAAGTCAAGGCCGATGAGCCGGTGTACGGGCTGGTGATGGTGGTGAACGAAATGTCTGCGGACGAGATGGGCTCGAGGAGGAAGACGGTGCCAACGGTATCGCTTCCAGTTGGGAAGACGGTGGTCGCGGATGGGATCACGCCTGTGTACGCGCTGGTAACGGTCACGAAGCTGACGGAGGCCGTATTCGTGGGCACCAGGACGATGACGGCGCCGATCGACTCGGTGCCGGTGGGCAAGATGGTCGACGTCGACGTCGTCAAGCCAGGATATCCGCTGGTGGTGGTGATGAAGAAACCAGGAAGAGCACTGGCGGCAGACGTGGGCTGGAGAACGATCACGGTGCCAAGGTCGTCAGCGCCAGTAGGCAGAACCGTCGTCGTCGTCGGAACCAGGCCGCTGTAAGTGCCGGTGATGGTGGCGAACGAGAAGATTCGGGAAGCCCTTGGAACATACACCACAGTCTGCTCAGGCTCACCCAAGGAACCGGTAGGAATAATAGAAGTAGACGTGACGGATCCATCGTACGTGCTGGTGAGAATGTTGGGAAGCGCACCTGCGTCTGTGGGACTTGGTACATACACGACAGTCTGCCCGGGTTCCCCTAGAGAACCAGTAGGGATGACGGAAGTAAACGTAACAGATCCTCCATATGTGCTGGTCAGTACGTTGGGCAGCGCTGCCGACGGGGTTGCAATCGCACCCGTGGGGCTTGGAACAAACACCACCGTCTGTCCAGGTTCGCCCAAAGAGCCGGTGGAAATAACAGAAGTCAACGTGACAGATCCTCCGTATGTACTGGTCAAGACGTTGGCCAGCGCTGCTGACGGCGACGCCGCCGCACCAGTCTGGCTCGGGACGAAGACGATCGTCTGTTCGGATTGTCCCAGAGGTCCGCTCGGGATAATAGAAGTCAACGTGACTGAGCCTCCATAGGTACTGGTCAAGACGTCGAGAAGTGCTGCTGATGGCGACACCACAGCACCAGTCTGACTCGGGACGAAAACGACCGTCTGTTCGGGCTGTCCTAGGGGTCCGCTCGGGATAATAGAAGTCAACGTGACTGAGCCTCCGTATGTGCTGGTCAAGACGTTGGGAAGCGCTGCTGACGGCGACACCACAGCACCAGTCTGGCTTGGCACGAAGACGACTGTCTGTTCAGGCTGTCCCAGGGGGCCACTCGGGATAATAGAAGTCAATGTGACTGAGCCTCCGTATGTGCTGGTCAAGATATTCTGTAAAGCCGGAGTAGCAGAAGGGCTTGGGACAAAGACAACTGTCTGTTCAGGCTGTCCCAGGGGGCCGCTCGGGATGACAGAAGTCAACGTGACTGAGCCTCCATAGGTACTGGTCAAGATATTCTGTAAAGCTGGAGTAGCAGAAGGGCTCGGGACGAAAACGACAGTCTGTTCAGGCTGTCCCAGGGGGCCGCTCGAGATGACAGAAGTCAACGTGACTGAGCCTCCATAGGTACTGGTCAAGACATTCTGTAAAGCTGGAGTAGCAGAAGAGCTCGGGACGAAAACGACAGTCTGTTCAGGCTGTCCCAGGGGGCCGCTCGGGATGACAGAAGTCAACGTGACTGAACCTCCGTAGGTACTGGTCAAGACATTCTGTAAAGCCGGAGTAGCAGAAGGGCTCGGAACATAGATGATCGTTGCACCAGGCTGGCCAAGGAGCCCCGTTGATAAGACGGAGGTGGAAGTGACGGAGCCGTCGTAGAAGCTCGTGAACAAACCGCCCACATTGTTGGCGGCGGTGGAAGAGGGCGCCGCGTTGTTGGTAGGGATGTAGACAATCGTAGCTCCCGATCCGCCCGCCGATCCGGAAGGCAAAGTGGAAGTGAGCGTGACTGAGCCATCATAGAAGCTCGTGAACAACCCACCAGCAGGCAAGTCAGTGATTGTCGCAGTCGGATCAACCGTGCTGCTAGGGACGTAGATGACGGTGAAACCAGGCTGACCCGAGGGGCCGGTGGGAACAACGGACGTCAACGTGACCGAGCCACCGTACGTGCTCGTGTAGAGGCCGGCAGCCAACGCCGAGGCGGTTTCAGAGGGCGTCGCCCCGGTGGCCGCGCTGGCAGAGCTTGGGAGCAGAACAACGACGGTTGTTACGTCGTTCGCGTTGACCGGGGCCAGTGTGCTCGTCAACGGGACCAGACCAGAGTACGTGGATACCAGAGTCGTGAGTAGGCTGTTCCCGACAGGGGCCGGGGAAATGATACTGCTAGGAACATAGACCACGGCGGTTGCGGGGTCCCCGGGGCGACCCGGCGACGTGATGGCCGTCGATACGACGGATCCGCCGTATGTCGACGTGACCGTGACAATACTGGCGCTTGGGGTAATGGCGGGAGACGCCGGCACGTTGCTCGGGACGAAAACCACAACAGTGCCGGTTGCATCGTTGCCGGAGGGCAGCAGAGTCTGGAACGAGGTGACAGAGCCCCCGTAGATGGAGGTGAGAGTCGCGAAAGCCGCAGACGGGTCGACGGCCGGGCTTGTGACGACCGATGCGCCAGCGGAACTGCTAGGGACCAGGACAACAAGGGTACCTTGAGTATCTGACCCTGAAGGAAGAATGGTCGAGGTCGAGACGACTGAGCCCCCATAAGTTGAGGTAACAATCGCCAAAGCCGCAGATGGAGCGCTAGCCGGGCTCGTGACGGACGACACGCCGGCTCCAGCGGAACTGCTTGGAACCAGAACGACAAGAGTACCTTGAGTATCCGATCCCGAGGGGAGAATGGTCGAGGTCGAAACGACAGAGCCCCCATAGGTGGAGGTAACAATTGCCAAAGCTGCAGATGGAGCGCTGCCCGGGCCCGTAACGCCTGTTGGGCTCGCAGCAGACGATACTCCGGCGTTGGCAGAACTGCTTGGGACCAGGACGACAAGGGTACCCTGAGTGGCTCCCGGGGAGAGGAGCGTCGAGGTCGAAGTCACCGAGCCTCCGTAGGTGCTGATGAGCGTCGCAAAGCCGGCATTTGCTGCCGAGGTCACGGCAGGCCCAGCGGTCGTGACAGCGGTAGATCCATCAGTTGATGCCGAACCAGACCCATCAGTCGAGCTTGGTACCAAGACGATGACGGTGCCCTGGGTGTCAGTTCCAGTGGGAGCAATGGTCGTGGTCGTCGGAGTAGAGCCGGAGTAAGTGCTGATAAGCGTGGCGAACGCTGCGGACGAGGCCGGGGCAGGCGTTGTCGTGGCTACTGAGCTGGGCAAAATGTCGGAGGAAGTCGAAGTTGCCGACACGGCGTCGAAGGGTGTGTAGTAGATAACCATGCCGATGATCTCCGTGCCGCTGAGCGAGGGTGAGGTCGTCGTGGAAAAGCCAGCCGCCGAGTGACCGGTGGTCCTGGAGACGAACCGTGCGAATCTTGGATGGGCCACAAACACGGTTCCAACAGACTGGGTTCCTGTAGGGAAGACGGTCGATGTGCTTGCTCCCGTGGAGTCCCAGAAAGAGGTCGTCGTGACGAAGCTCGCGGCGTTGGGAGCAGGGGTCGTTGAAGCAGATGCCGTGGGTGTCTGGACGATGACGATGCCGACTGATGCTGTGCCTGTGGGAAACAACGTCGTCGTCTGGGTTCCAACGCCATCATAGCCGGTGGAAACTGTGATGAACTGGGTGACGGATGGGGCCGGTGCAGAACCCTGGGCTGATGAGATGCCTGCCTGGGTAGGAACCTCGACTACGACAACACCAAGAGCCTCGGTGCCGCTCTGGGGCAGCGTAGTCGTGCGAGTAGCGGCGCCAGAGTACGGCGATGTGACTGTGATGTAGCCCGTGATGGACGGCGCCACGGCGCCAGGATCCGTGGGAGTCTGGACGAGAACGAGACCGACGCTGTTGGTCCCCGTTGGCAGAACGGTAGTGGTCTGCGTTCCAACACCCCCGTAACCGGTAGAGACGGTGATGAAGGAAAAGGCAGGGGCTGTCGGAGCGCTGGTGGGCGTGACGGGGTCTGACTGAGGCGTCTGGACAATGACGGCACCAACGGTGCTCGTTCCCGAAGGGAAGATGGTGACGGTGGTTGGCACCGAGCCCGTGTAGCCCACGGTGGTGGTAACGAAAGCCACACCAGACGTAGGGAACGGCGTCTGGACAAGAACCGTCGTAGGATCTCCGCTGACAGCTGGTGCCAAAGTCGTCGTCGCCAATGCGGAACCGAAGAAGCCCGTGGTGCGGGTGACGACGGAAGCCGCAGCGACGGCGGCAGAGGGATCTTGGACAATGACCGTCGCCACACCGTTGGGATCGGTGCTCGCGGGCGGGAGAGTGAAGGTGGCAGGCACTGATCCAGGAATGGTGGTAGTGACAAACGACGTCGCCGAGACGGTGTTGCTCTGACCAGAGGAGAAAGGCGTCTCGATCAGAATCGTGCCCGTGGGGTTTCCGTTGCTCGGCGGGATGGTCACGGTGTTGATAGTAGAGCCGGGGTAGCCCACCGTCAAGGTGACGAACTGAGCAGAGGACGACGTTGGCGGGATCACGTTGGACGCAATAGGCGTAAGAACAACCAGGGTTGTCGGGTCACCAGCCGCCGAGGGCGTGAGGGTGAGTGTGGATGTCGCAGAACCGGCGTAGCCACTCGTCAAGACGACCTGGTTAAGCAGGGCGCTAGATGCGCCAGCTCCCACCGTCGGCGTCTGGACGAGAACGTCACCGACCGTCTGCAGTCCAGTCGGTGCCAGCGTAGTCGTACGCGTAATGCTTCCACCATAGCCCTCCGTGCGGGTAAGAGCGGGAACAGCACCGGCGGCGGCAGAACCGGTCGGGGTCTGGATCAGGACGGTGCCAATACTCTCAGTACCAGTAGGGAAGATGGTCGTCGTCGTAGGCACCGAGCCTGAGTATCCGGTGGTGACGATGTTGAAGCCGATGGAGAACTGGGACTGGGATTGGGTAACGGCGGCCTCTTGAACAACCACACTGCCCGGGTTGGTGCCCGCCGGGGGGACCGTGACGGTAGTAGGCACGGAGCCGGTCCCGGTAATCGTTGTGAGAACATAGCCACTGGGAACCTGGGGTTGGGCTGTGGCAGGTTGTTGAACAACCACAATGCCGGGGTTGGTGCCCGACGGGGGAATCGTGACAGTGGTGGGCACAGAGCCGGTTCCAGCAACTGTTGTAAGTATAAACCCACTAGGAACTTGGACCTGTCCTTGAGCCTGGTTCGTGGCAGGTTGTTGAACAATCACACTGCCCGGATTAGATCCAGATGGCGGGATTGTGACAGTAGCAGGCACAGAGCCAGTTCCAACAACTGTTGTGAGAACAAAACCACTGGGAACTTGGACCTGTCCTTGAGCCTGGTTCGTGGCAGGTTGTTGAACAATTACACTTCCAGGGTTGGTGCCTGACGGCGGGATCGTGAGAGTAGTAGGCACTGAGCCGGTTGCAGCAACTGTAGTCAGGACATATCCACTAGGCACTTGAACCTGTCCTTGAGCCTGAGTCGTGGCAGGTTGTTGAACAATTACACTTCCAGGGTTAGATCCAGATGGCGGGATCGTAACTGTGGCAGGAACAGAATTAGTGCCAACAACTGTCGTGAGAACAAAGCCACTAGGAACTTGGACCTGTCCCTGGGCCTGGGTTGTAGCAGGCTGCTGGACGATAACTCTGCCTGGGTTGGATCCAGATGGTGGGATCGTGACAGTAGTAGGGACGGAGCCGGTTCCAGCAACTGTCGTGAGAATAAATCCACTAGGAACTTGGACTTGTGGCAGGCCTGTGGCAGGCTGCTGCACAATGACACTGCCCGGGTTGCTGCCCGATGGCGGGATCGTGACAGTAGTAGGGACAGAACCAGTTCCAGTAATTGTAGTTAAGACAAATCCACTAGGAACTTGAACTTGTGGCTGGCCTGTGGCAGGCTGTTGCACAATCACACTACCTGGATTAGACCCAGAAGGCGGAATCGTAACCGTGGCAGGAATAGAGCCAGTTCCAACAACCGTCGTGAGAACGAAGCCGCTTGGCACTTGGGCCTGGGGCTGAGTAACGGCAGGTTGCTGGACAACGACGCTGCCCGGGTTGGTGCCAGACGGAGGAATGGTCACCGTGGTTGGCACGGAACCAGTGCCAACGACTGTCGTGAGGACAAAGCCGCTTGGCACTTGGGCCTGGGCTTGGGTAACGGCAGGTTGCTGGACAATGACGCTGCCCGGGTTGCTGCCAGACGGCGGAACAGTCACCGTGGTTGGCACGGAACCGGTGCCAACGACTGTCGTTAGGACAAAGCCGCTCGGAACGCTGGGGGCAGCTGTGGCTGCCGGTCCCGTCGTCGGGGTCTGGATCAGCACGATGCCGGCGGAGTTGGGGTCAGTGGGCAGGATCGTAGAAGTCGCCGCCACGGGGCCTCCGGTGGTGATTGTAACAAAGATGATGTTGGGCGCCGCGCCCGCGCCAGCGGCAGGGGTTGGCTGGACTGCACCTCCGGAGAAGAAGGGCGTCTGGACGACAACGGTACCAACCGTGTCGGTTCCGGTGGGCTGGAGCGTGATAGTGGTCGGCGCGGCCCCGGTGAAACCCTGTTGGATCGTGGTGAAGTCGCTCGCCGTAGCCGAGGGCGGTCCCGCGGGGGTCGGGAAGGGGGTCTGGACGACCACAATGCTGGAGCCGCCTCCGGAGGGCTGCACGGTGACGGTGGTGGGAGCTGTTCCGGTGAAGCCGACGGTGGTGGTCCGGAGGATGTTGACCTGGGCCGTCGGTGTCTGAACCAGCACGATGCCAAGGGAGTTGGATCCCGTCGGCGGCAGAGTCGTCGTCGTCGGGACGGTTCCGGAGTAGCCCTGCACAACGGTTGTGAATTGAGCAGCGTTCGGAGCGCCAGCCAAACCGGTGGTAGGCGTCTGGATAACCACGATGCCCACAGAGTTGGTGCCGGTCGGGAGGAAAGTCTGCGTGGTCGCCACCGGCCCTCCTTGTGTCACGGTGATGGCGGACAGGCCCAGGCCCGGGTTGGCGCTGGGGAAGATGCCAACCCCCGGTATGCTGATGCTTGTGGGTGGGATGTTGACGATTGGAAGGCCGCCGGGTGTGTTGCTGTTGATGTTGATGTTAGGGTTTGCCCCGCGGTTAGTATCGCCTCCTGATGGCGAAGGCGTGAAGAGGGAAGACGGGACCTGTACGAGTACCGTTCCTACAGTGTTAGTACCTGTTAGCAGCAAGACATTGGTTAGTGGGGAGTCTCCCGAGAAGGGAGCGGTGACCGTCGTGAACGGCACTCCGGGGGGGAGAGTGAGTTGAGGGGCAGCTGCTGGGTTAGTAGGAGTGAGGATCACGACGGTACCAGGGCTATTAGAATCGGCCGGCGGAACCGTGAAGGTGGTCGGGACCGGACCGCCAAAGCCGGACTGTATCGTTGTGAAAGCGCCGGCCGCCCCGGGTGCCGGGTTCGGCTGTACACCGCTGCTGCCGCCACTCTGTTGCGGGACTGCCGGGCCAGGAGCTGGATTCTGCTGTCCCGGAAGTTGAGTCTGCTGTCCTGGGACTGGATTCTGCTGTCCCGGAACTTGAGTCTGCTGTCCTGGGACTTGAGACTGCTGTCCCGGAGCTGGGTTCTGCTGTCCCGGAACTGGGCTCTGCTGGCCCGGAGCTGGGTTCTGCTGTCCTGGAGCTAAAGGAGAGGCACCGGCCGGCTGAGTCGCTAGAGGGTTAGAGAGCACCACGACGGTGCCCACGGTGTCCGTTCCCGCAGGAGGGAGAGTCAGAGTGGTGGGCGTTGCACCTGCAAATGACCCAGTGAGAGTGGTGAACGACCCTGGCAAAGCACCCTGGGCAGGGTTTGTTGCAGCCAAGCCAGCAGGGTCTGGCGTCAACACCAAGACCGCAGGGGCGCCTCCAGCACTGTTGGTGGGCTGGATAGTCACCGTCGTGATCTGCGATCCTGGGAAGCCGGCTGTGATGGTGTTGGCGGGCTGGGCAGCAGCCGGTCCGGCCGGTCCAGCACCGCCGGCGCCGGCTGGTTGAGTTGCCAGAGGGTTGGAGAGCACCACGACGGTGCCCACCGTATCCGTTCCCGCAGGAGGGAGAGTCAAAGTGGTGGGCGTTGCACCTGCAAATGACCCAGTGAGAGTGGTGAACGACCCTGGCAAAGCACCCTGGGCAGGGTTCGTCGCAGCCAAGCCAGCAGGGTTCGGCGTCAACACCAAGACCGCAGGGGCGCCTCCAGCGCCGTCGGTGGGCTGGATGGTCACTGTTGTGATCTGCGATCCTGGGAAACCGGCTGTGATGGTGTTGGCGGGCTGGGCAGCAGCCGGTCCGGCACCACCGGCGCCAGCAGGGTCAGCGCCAGCAGGGCCATCTCCAGCAGGTGGGTTCGTGGGGGTCAATACCAAGACCCGGCCGAGTGACTGGGCTCCGGATGGTGGCAAGGTGATGGTGGTGGGCACAGATCCGGAGAATCCGCTGGTGAGTCGCGGAAGGGCGCCTTGGGGCGCCGGGTTAACACCCGGTGCACCTGGTGCACCAGGGGCGTTGGTGGCCTGGTTGGCCGGGCTGCCGGCAGGGTTAACGGCCGGGTTTGTGCCGGCAGGGTTAACAGCCGGGTTTGTGCCGGCCGGGTTGACGGCAGGATCGGGAACTGGGTTCGGAGCCGGAGAGGCCGCCGGAGGTGCAGCGGGAGCTCCACCAGCACCACCGCCGGCAGCCGAGTTGAAGCCGACGGGCAGCTGCTCGACGACGGTGGCAACCGAGTTGCCTCCCTGAGTCGGCAGCGTCACAGTCAGAGGATTCGCCCCGCCGAACTCGCCTTGGATAAGCACACGGTTGGCCGACAGGACAGGAGGCTGGCTCGTCGCCGGGTCGTCTCCGCCCAGGCCCGGGGCAACGAGAACGAAACCGGTCTGTTGGGCCGCGGGGTCATTGCCGAACGGCGGCAAAGTCGCGGTCGCGCCGCTGCCGGGTACAGCCTGCGCGGTCAGTGTGCTGAAGACCTGCGGCCGGACCGCCTGAGACGGGGTTTGGACGATGACGGTTCCCAGGGTCGGGCTGCCGGCGGGCACAACCGTCAGGGTGACCGGGACGGTTCCCGTGTTTCCGTCCGTGGTGATGGTCGTGAACGGGCCGGTGAAGCTGGTGGCGGCGGGCTGGACGATAACACGGCCGGTCTGCTCGGTGCCGGTAGGAGGAATAGTCAGCGTGACGGGAGTATCTCTGTTGTTGCCGCCGGCTGTGATCGTGCTGAGGGGACCGGCGAATTGTGCAGAACCGGCCGGGCCGGACGTCTGGACGACCACGAAGCCGACACTGCCAGAAGTAGGAAGAACAGTAAAGGTTCCCGCCTGGCCGTTCGCGTTGCCGACGGTGATGGTCTGCAGCCTGGCAGGGAAGGCCTGGGCTCCGGAAGCCTGGATGATCTGCAGTCCTTGCCCGCCGCTGGCCGTCTGCCGCTCGGCGGGCATGGTGATGGTGTCGGGATTCACGCCGGCGTTGCCGAAGACGGTGATGGTGTTCCCGGGCCCGGTTACCGTGATGGAGAAACTGTCGAAAGTCTGTTGATAGACTGTGGCTCGAGAATTGGCCGAGTCCACGACGGTAAAGTTCCTGGGCACCCCTTGAGCACCACCGATCTGGACTGTTGTCGCCGGTCCGGTGAACTGTTGCGGGAACGAGCCGGCACTGGGGCCTGCTGGAGGGGTAGTCAAACGGATCGAGGCCGGACTGGCGCCTGGGATTCCGCCATTGAACGTGGCCGCCGGCGATCCGACATTACCAGCAGCCGTGGGCCCTGTAGAACCGAAAGGGGTGTAGACCAAGTACGTCCCGATGCCACCCGGGGCCGTGGGGGAAACTGTGATTGTGCTCGCCACAGAGCCAGAATGGCCACCCCTGGTGATGGTCACGTAGGCGTTGGGAGAGGAGGAGACTTGTTGCAGGATTCTAGTCCCTGGTCAGCATGCGAGCTTCTTCTGCCTGGATAGTGGGAACAACTTGTGGTGGTGGACGGGGCGGCTTACCTAGTGGCCTGGGAAGTCGTGGTTCCCAGCTTGTCGATTTCGGTGACCAGTGTCACGGGTGCATTGGTGATTGTGAGTGTGATGCCGTCGCCAAGCACCAAGGTGGTGTTGACAGGCAGGTAGGCGCTGATGTATATGGGCTGCTTGATGATCAACTGCACCGGCTGCACTTCAACGGACGTGATGCCGGCAGGGCAGACGGGGTTGTCTGGGAACTGAGGCAGCGCGGCTGCGAGCCAGGACTGGCCGGCGGCGGCCAGCAGGCTCAACGCCGGGACGAACCTCATGATGAAGGCCGGCTGCGCGATGCCAGCACGATAGTCTCGAGGCCGTCCTAGACACCAGGGCTGGGAGGCCTGACGGCAGCAATCGGCTTGCTCTCGGGTGTACAGGTCTTGCTTTGTTGCGTAGTCAAGATATGATGTTTCTATACTTTCTTCCTTCTCGATGGGAAGATGTAATGGTTGTCTGTGAAAAGCTAATGGTCGCTACTTCTCATGCGATTGCATCTCTTGGGGATGTTCGGGAAGCGCCACTGGTCCAACGGTGGACAAGAAACAGAGAGGAGATAAGAAGGCCAACGATGTCTTGTCTTCAAGTATACGGGCGCCTCGAGGCCGATATTTACCAAGACTCGATACGACCACGATGCTTGTGGCCTTTTTCTTCTCGATTTAGAAGGGGAAAAGGTACTGTACTATGCTTTTCTCGTTGCCGTGAGACTGTTTCGTCCCTGTCGAGCGGAATGACTTATATCGGTGTGGAATGTCGCTCTTGTGCAACTATTGGAGGAGGAGGAGGAGGAGGAGGAGGAGAAGGAGGAGTAAGAAGAAGAAGATCCGGTGGGCTTACACCAAGTTGAATTACAACGCCTTGCCCGACGGATATCTTGAGTTGAGATTGTTCCCAGCTTTCCGGTACTTACGAGGTGCAAAAGGAGGGGATATTAGAGCTATAGGAGGCGAGAGAGAGAGAGCGAGGCCGAGAGGGAGGGCATCCCGTGGCGAAAGTGTATGACGGCCCGAGGAAGTGGTCGACCATGCCACCCGGGGACAACAGAGTTCTCCATATCGCAAGCAGGGAAAACGATGACTTGCTGTTTCCATGGTTTCCCCGTTTGATTGCCGGTTCTAGCCATGGCTCCTCGTTCCGACGAACGATGTGTGCCTCTCGGGAGGATAGATCTAAGACAATTCCGTCAACGAAGAGCTCGTCTGTCGTTCCGGGAGCAGCGACGGAATGCTCCGGTATTGCCAAGACCAATACGAGGTAGGAATCCCCCCTCAATGCTGACAATCCCATTGTTGTCGCCCGTCGAGGTTGGCGGTCGATGGGGGCGGAGGCATCTACAGATGTGCCTCTGCCGCTGCCGCTGCCAACACCAAGGAAACTCTGGCAGAAAATGGCGCGCACCTGCGGTTGGGGTGACAACAGCCGTCCCTCGCCCTAGGCACTTCATGATGTCCGACTCCGAGGAGAAGAGAAGGATGCTGGTGGTTCCTCTGCTTTCCGGGTTAGTCACACTCGCTAGCTGTTGACATGTCTTGGATTAGCTGCGTCTTCTCTTACGAATGCGTTACCGGGAATAACTTCACAGTTCGATGACCGGGTCGACGCAGTGCCGTTCAAGGGGAGCTGAGGCCAATCTTGGACAGAAACGTCGAAGCATCTCGTGTAGTTGATCTGTCACTGGCGACGGATCATCTCGTCCACCCTCCCTCGGCTGTTAGGCCCATCTGGAGGCTTCGACGCCACGGCCGGAAACGAACACAAGCGGGTGGGTTGGTCGAGCGGGTGATGCTCGATGCCGAGTGTCTCGCGCCGGTCGAGCAAAGTCTGCTACTAGCATGTTTAGCTCCACAAACACACTCACTACCTAGCTACGGGAATGACGGACCATCTTTTGACTATAGTTGCTAGTGCGCAGAGTCATCGAGCGAGACGCTGGTTGGTCAGTCAGGCTAAGACATGACACACACACACACCCATGGACTCTAGACTCAGCCCTTTGAGATCAATAGAACCATTCTGATGGAGCTTTGGCTCAGCGCCTTTCCCGATCGAAGCTGTTGGGATCCAGTTGACTACGGTAACATACAAGCGCCCCCCCCCCCCCTCCTCCGGGGCAGTCGAGGCGACCCTACCGGGCTGCCATGTCACTATCTGCACCCGGAAGGGGGCTCCGAGAGAGGCTATGCCTTTGAGGCTTCATTCAGACGTTATTACGGTTGCAGATTTACAAAATCTTGACCAGTTTGCTTTCGGGTTTGGCCCCCCTCGGCCCACTCCTCATCGCCGTTCGAGCCCGGCCTTGGCGGCCTTTGTGGCTTCCGGCCGCTACGTAGAGATTTTCACGCTCACCCGTTTGTGGACAAAAGAGTTGACGCCCTTTGTGACATTATGTCCGGAGATGGACGGACGTCATATTGCATGGACGTCTTGGCGGCCGTCTCTAAAGAGGCATATACGATACCGGGCCGAACCTCCTCGAGAATGTCCTGATATAGGGTTTGTCCGCATTCCATCTCCCCTGGCTGCATCTGAGCAAACCACCCCTCCCTTCACCTCGCCCAAATATGCATCCTTACATCTTTGCATTCGCTGCCGTTATGTCAGGCGCAAAGGTCCAGCGGAGACAAGACAGTTGTTCCTCCACCATCACGCTAGCCACTCTCTCGGTCACCACGGTAGAACCGATCTCGATCTACATCTTGCCCGGCCAACTCGCCCCCACGGGGGCCACAAACGATGACGAGCCCATCACCATCGTCTATCAAACCGTGTATGCCACCTTCTGCCCCGACTGTCCGCAGGGCTTGCAGCCACAGACATATACCGTTACGCAAACCTGCACCGGCAACCTCGCTTCATGCCGGCCAGTCGGGAATGTCTTGCCTCAGGGCTTCACAACGACGCAGGCCACTTGCAGCAACTGCCCGACCCCCTTCAGCGCAGTCCTGACTGTCCCGGCTGTCCCGACTGTCCCGGCTGTCGCCGACCCGGCCGACGTCGTCGTTACCGAGACAGTCCTCCAAACCGTCAGCGAGCCCGGTCTGACCACCACCCGCGCCGTCGTCCGAACTTACACAACCGCGCCCGCCGTGCCCTCGACCGCGCCCTCATTATCTTCCATCAGCTACAACGGACGCGTTCAGACCTTTGACGTAGGGAACTTTGCCGATGGCGCCACCGCGCCCGCCACGGTTTTCGTGACGGAGGAGAAGACCGCGACTGCGACCGCGACCGTGACCGTCAAGGGAGCGGGACGGCGTGTCTCCTCGGACAGGATGTTGGTGTTTGGCATGAGCGCCCTTGTTCTTTTGTTGCTTTCTTCTTCATGAGCGTCATTGGAAGATTGGAGCTTGATGGAGGCTTCAAAATAGTACAGACGAAAAATCTCGCGAGCGTGGTAGTTTGGGGTGTTATCGGTTATCTTTGGGCCCAGGTTGCATACACCTGTTTCCCCAACAGGCCTTTCAGGCTCATCTCAATGTTTTCCTTTTACACATTTGATGCATGAATATCTCCCAAGTTCCAGCATATAAGAGTATCTGGAACAGTATCATATACGGGGGGTGGGGGGCTCGGAAGAAAGAATATCAGAATATCATGCAAAGTTGTAGTTAGACAGAGTCTTTTAAAATTACGGTCACAACGCTTCGTCATCCCGCCCATCGTGAGATTCTTCATCGGTTGGTGGTTAGTTTTTACGCTCTGCTCTCTATATTCTGACGACGCTTATTGTCTTTCCCCCTAGCGCTATCCTCTCCAAGCATACAGCCATGCAGGCGTGACTATTTACTGAATGTAGTTGATTGATGATGATCAAGACCCCAATTATGAATTCTTTCCCACTGAGAGCTGCCTATCCCAACCCCTCAACGATGACACCGGTGTCTAAAGGACCCTGAGAACAACCACGTTATGGGCTTGGGGAGGGGGGGGGGGAGTGGTGACCCCTCCCCTCAGCCTCTTCGGATACTTCCCGCATCAAGCACTCTTTTGAGCCAGATGGCAGATCTAAGCCAGCAAGGCTTCGGTGTGAGACATCGTCCAAGGTATCTTCATCATGGGCCGGAGTCTCACGCTTGCCATCATGGCTTTGCCTTGCACGCGCACATGACGTGTGTCAAGATCTGAGATCTGGATCTGATGAAACGAAAGACGATATCTTGCCTCATGAGGATCTGAAATGCGATACACTCTTTCACCACGTCAATATCGTCGCCACGCCTTCTTTGTGTCGACGGCTTCGCCAAGCCAGGCGATCACTTGACGAGTCCGTCATATCTAATGTCTAATTCTTCTCTATCGGCCCGTGGAGAGCATCTGTCTGTCTATGTAGTGGTATTGATGACATCCATAAAGAATTCCCTAGAAGTTTCCCCCGTACCTCTGGTCGTTCCCATAGGCCACGTCCTAGTCCCTCTCTCTCTCTCTCTCTCTCTCTTCCTAGTTTGAATGCGAGACAACGTGACGAAGCCCCCCCCCCTTAGTTCCGAGGACAAAGCAGACAATACGGACCGTATGCATCCCAGCCCGTTGCGACTGGCACCAACATCTGCGACTCATCTCCCGGTGGCGTACCTGCGCGATGCAAGATTTGTAAAAAACCCTGTTATTTCCGCCACCGCTGATGCCACTTTCCAACTGTTGCCGCCAGAGCGGACAAATGGGGCGGCATGCCACACACACACACACACACACCTCACCCAGCGTCGCTGCAGGAAGGATCACGCCTTACATTGGTGCGTGGCTCTTCATCGATGGCTCTGCGGCTGTGGCTTGGCCTGGTTTGCTTCTACGATGAGTCATGATATCATCGTATGGGAATCGTAATGTCCGCAACTCATGCAGATGATGCCGACGTCGATGCCACCGACCGAAGCACCTGTTTCAGCCACCACGCGTGAATGCGGATGTCGTCGGTCAGCTCGGGGTGGAAGCTCGTGGCGAAGATGTTGTCCTGCCTCACGGCAACGATGTCGCCGACCGCGTCGTCGGCCGTGCTCTGGCTGACGCCCTCGGCGGCCATCGTCCTGCGCCCGGGGAGGACGGCCAGCACTCGGACCGAGGAGGGCGCCGCTGACCCGGTCGTCGTGAGGATCTCCTCGACGATCGGCGCGCGGATGAAGACGCCGGGGTAGGGCGCAGGAGCCGTCTTCTCGGCGCCCCCGTCATCTTGCGACAGGAACGGCAGTTCGAGATCGGCGACGAAGCTCTCGATCTGCCTGCCGAAGTGGTTGCGCTGAACGCGCACGCCGAGGCCCCCGATGAGCTCCTGGCCGCCCTTCTTGGTGGCGTTGGCTTCATCGGCGAGCAGGATGGCGCCTGCGCATGTACCCCATACCGGCTTGCGTTTGACTCTGGAGCGGCAGAAACGGATTAGATCTTGTCTCATACGTTGATCAAATCAAGGCAAAAAAAAAGCCGTCGAGTTGGGGACAAAAATTGGTTGCTGTTAACAACTGGTGGGAAACATTCGGCTGGAATGCTCTCCCCACACCTCCTTTTCGCATTTTTTTTTCTTTTTTTTCTCTTTTTTTTTCTTTCTTTTTTTCTCCTTTTTTTCTCTTCTTCTTTTGTTCATTTCTTCTTTTCTCAAATGACATCATGAACAGACAAGATTCGACGGGCCCATATACTCACTTGACGAATTCCCTCAGGGGTTCCATCAGCCCGGACTGCGTCGCGACAAACGAGATGGTGGTGCTCTCTCCGCCCGGAATGATGAGGGCGTCACAACGACGGAGCTCTGCGTCGGTGCGGACCTCGATGGCTGCGATGTCGGCATTCGGGCTCGGCGTCGTCGGCGACTGGGCCGTCGCAAGCCAGGCGGCGGCCTTCCTCGTGAGCTGGACATGCTCTTGGAAGCCGCCTTGGAGCGCCAGTACGCCAACGGTGACGGTGGACATGGCGTTCAAGAATCGATGTTGTCGAAGATGATGCGCAGAGAGTGTTCTTTAGGTTCGAGGGAAAGATTCGTTGGAAATTACACTTGTTACGGTTGAGTCATTCACACCCGTGTGGCACATTAACAAGGTTCCAAACTGCTTGAACAGGGCGTGGGCGTGACAAGCCTTGGCTATGGAGGTTCGTGGTATACCCTTGCTCTTCGATCTGGGCGCGCTTGTTGTTAGTCGGTGTGTCGACGAAGGGCGGAACAACGAGACTCGGAAAGGCGGCCGAGGAGAAAGCCATACAAGGGGCTGAAGAACCGGTCTACACTACCGTTAACATGCTGCAGAGTCAAAGATCTGACCCGATAGTGTGTGACATGTCATAGTATTTGACACCCTCTAGCGCGGAAGAGCCAGGGCGGTAGGCGGCGCGATGGAGTTGGAGGCTCTCGGCTTAACATCCGATGGCAACCGCCCGTCGCCCGCCCCCCTCGAGTACATAGTATACAGAGTACTGTACTCCGTAGTATGTATGTAATGGACCTTCGCCGCCGTTCGGAGTTGACATGTCGGACCAAACATGCATAACAAACATGCTCACTCAAGCCGGCCCTCATCCACTGCCCCCCTCCCCCCCTTCATCAGTAGATCGGAGATCCACCTGCGGCTTATGCTCTTGTACGATGTACATGGCATGCGAGGACGCGCACAGCACCGTAGTATATAGTCCGTCGTCTCATCAGATACTCGGCCATGTAGAACTACCTACAAACACCGGTGCGGGGGCCGCTAACTACGGCTGGGCTTGGGACTTGGGGGCATGGACACTGGAGGCATACTACGTAAGCTTCGATGACACTGCCATTCCGTGAAGGTTCGGAGTAACCGTATCTTGCCTTTCCGAGGTCGGTCAGCCCGCTGCCCATCACCATTCACCAGCCAACCCTCCGTCCCGTGTCTGTCACAAGGCGGGCGGCATGGCCCCTGGAGGTCCTCTTACGCCCAGGCGTCGCCGCCGAGTCGGCCTATGCATCTGTCTACCGGTACCTAGGTATGCCGAGGGTGGGTTGTCGACCGTCTCCCAGGCACAATCGTAATCTACTATACGCAGTAGGGGGTAATGCTGCGGTGAAGGGCAAAGGGGTCTCTCCCACCCGCGGGCACCAACGGGATGACTCGGTATAGCAAAAGTATAAAAATTTTCTCGTCCAATCTGTCGCTGCCGGCATCATAATCGAGTTGTCACCGTGGAAAAATAATACACTACTTATTAGTTGCCACTCCCCTTTGTGCGTTCCTCTCCTTCATCCCCTTTCCTCCGGGTTCCGCATACAAGAGACGTTGTCAGTGTAGACCTCCCCCCCCCTACCTCCCCCCCATCACGAAGCGGAGCATCCCGAATCCTCTTTTGCCCTTTTCGAGGCCTGCCTTTCTCTCTGATTGATCAGTAAAAGAAGAAAAAAAAAAGATAACCCTTTGGAGCTCACCAAGCCGTCTTATTCCCGGCCACCGCGACTCACTCAGCCCAAAAACAAACATGACCTTCGACGACGCAGCAGCCAAGGCCAACGGCACCAACGGCGATGCCGCCAAGACCTCGTTCGCCGTCAAGGCCGGGCTCGCGCAGATGCTCAAGGGCGGCGTCATCATGGACGTGACGGACGCGGCGCAGGCCCGCATCGCCGAGGAGGCCGGCGCCTGCGCCGTCATGGCCCTGGAGCGCGTCCCCGCCGACATCCGCAAGGACGGCGGCGTCGCCCGCATGTCGGACCCGGCCGTCATCAAGGAGATCCAGAACGCCGTCACGATCCCCGTCATGGCCAAGGCCCGCATCGGCCACTTTGTCGAGTGCCAGATCCTCGAGGCGCTCGGCGTCGACTACATCGACGAGAGCGAGGTGCTCACGCCCGCCGACAAGGTCTACCACGTCGAGAAGGCCGGCTTCAAGGCCCCCTTCGTCTGCGGCTGCCGGAACCTCGGCGAGGCCCTGCGCAGGATCGCCGAGGGCGCCGCCATGATCCGCACCAAGGGCGAGGCCGGCACCGGCGACGTCGTCGAGGCCGTCACCCACGTCAAGACCGTCACCGGCGACATCGCGCGCGCCAAGGCCGTCCTCGAGACCGAGGGCGTCATCGGCATCCGCGCCATGGCCCGCGAGATCGGCGTCGACCCCGCCCTGCTCCAGCAGACCGCCGAGCTGGGCCGTCTCCCCGTCGTCAACTTCGCCGCCGGCGGCGTCGCCACCCCCGCCGACGCCGCGCTCATGATGCAGCTCGGCTGCGACGGCGTCTTCGTCGGCAGCGGCATCTTCAAGTCGGGCGACCCGGCGAAGCGCGCCAAAGCCATCGTGAGGGCGACGACCCACTACAAGGACGCCAAGGTGCTCGCCGAATGCAGCGAGGGCCTCGGTGAGGCCATGGTCGGCATCAACTGCGACAGCCTGAAGCCCGATGAGAAGCTTGCCACCCGCGGGTGGTAAACGGAGGGGAGGAGATGCCGACGTTGTTTGCCGCCATCGAGCGGGCTTGGACCGAATGGGAGGCAACGCATACACCCGATGGCTTATGCGTCTGTGTGTGTGTGTGTGTGTGTGTGTGTGTGTGTGTGATATTTGGGTGTTCACACGAGTCATGACTCTACGACATGGAAAAGCAGAATTCTCTGCACTTTCTTATTTTATTTTTTCATATTTATTTCCTTTCAACATAGGGCATCATGGCCACATCTCAGCCAGCGACCATGGGCGGGGGTATCATTTCCCCCACGGGGCATATCAGAAAGATGAAATGCGCATAGGAAAAAATGAAATTTACCTTATTTGAGGCTGAACTTTGCGAGGGCGATGTATCGTCTCAGACTCAAGAATGACTCGCGGACCGAAATCTTACGGCGTGATACACACGCCCTTGCCGGGCCTGTCGACACCGCCCTCATGACTTCTAATGACGTCTATATATGCGAGAGTCTCTTCATTGTATGCCGGCCGACCGTCACGATGGCCATCTGTATGATGCCGCGGGTCCGGGACTTGATAGTTGCTAGACTGGACGCCAAACCTCGAAGACGGCGGCGGACATAGCTCAGTTGGGAGAGCGTCAGACTGAAGTGGGTTTGAACCCTGGAAACTTCATTCAATCAATCTGAAGGTCGTGTGTTCAATCCACACTGGCCGCAACTTCACCTTTTGACGGTGAGACAGACTCAACTCACCTGCCAATTCTCACGATAATCATCAATCCAATCAATCATTCATTCAATCCCCTTCACCGTGTTTTGACTTTAACGTATCTTTTTTTGAAATACATCATGGATAAGTCGCACTGAAATTAGCAATTACTACTCACTGGTCTCTCTGTCTGGATGTTCTCTCTCTTTCCACTTTATTGTTTGAATCTCGGGTTTATCGTCATTGGCTCAACTCAATCCAACAGGATTGATTTCCCTTACTTGGAACATGGGATGTTGGAAGGATCCAGTCAGCCCTTCACACTTTTCTTCGCGCTGTCGATGATGAGACGAAACAGACTTAAGCTCAACTTGGTCGAACATGACACGATGAAGGCAAACACGTATCTCGCCGCGTCCTAACGCTCGCTACTCACGTATCGGGAGGAAGGGTAGGCATTCACATGAAGAGTGTGTTCTTTCTAGACAATTCACAAGGTGATCAAGACGAGTAGGGCTGACCCTGTAGAGTTCGGTTTGATGAGTACGAGGAAACGGCATCAACAGCTACAATGACCCCATGCGTGTGCGGCTTCTCGGAGCTTCACAGGGCTGAGGTGGCTCTGCTTGGTGCTGTGTGTGCCTTGACCAGTCAAAGATGCTACGTCTTGCCAACAACCGCCATGGCTTATTTCTTTCCTTGCCTCACGATCCAAGCTTTCAGCAGGGTCTGTCTGCCTTGGGCATCTGGAAGTGTTCTAAACAGCTCTGAAGCCAAGATGAAGAAGCTGTTTATCAGACCACTATGGCACGGCTCTCGAATCAATCAGATGGACAACGCATGGTATATAACCTCTGGGTCCAAGGATGGTCCAAGATTCGTTGTTTACAAACATTCGGCCTAGCCTGGGGGCCATCACAATCTGTATGTAATAGGACCGCCCCCTGCGACGGATTTGACTTTTGACTTTTCGACTTTTTTTTCCAAATCTGGAGCATCTGGGAACGAAAGAAAAACACAAAAAGACGGAGGGGGAAAAAAAACATCCGACATTCCAGGCCAGGGACAAAGCATTCAAGCTCGGTGGCTTGGGGTTCACCCAGAATGATTTGTGTTCGCGCGCGCCAGCTTACGGCTGCTGTGTCACCAGACATCGAGATGCTTCGGTAATGGTAGTATAACCGGGCGCCGGCTCGTCGTCGGTGTTTCGGCACCTCTCGCCAGCCAAAGGAGCCATGCGCCGGCGGCTGTATTCCCGATCCGTGAGAATCATGCTTGGTATGACCAGTGTTTAATAATACAAAAAATGTTACAGTATCTTTCTTGTACACAGCGCCGGTACGGCGGACAGCCCCTTTTCCTACATACACCCACCCCGGCGCAGCGCCAGAAATCCTAGTACCTCGCCTTGCCGTTCTGCTCCTTGACGTTGCGACGGACGCGCCGGCCGTATCGCTCGACGCGGGACTTGACGTCCAGGTTGTAGGCCGGCATGGCACCGATGGCCTTGGAGAAGATGCCCAGCTGGCCGCGGCGGAAGGAAGCCAGGGCCATCTCGATGGTGTCGACCAGGCGCAGCGTCTGCTCGTCGTAGGACAGCCCCGCAAACTGCATCTCGTCGAGCACGTCGAGCACGGCCTGCGTGTCGCCGTGGCGGTACCAAAAGATGGAGGCCAGCTCGTTGTAGAAGGGCGTCGAGACGCCGAGAACGTACGAGGCCAGGCCGAGCTCCTTGACGCGCGGCAGGACGTTGAGGGCTAGTGCGGACGACCGCGCGAAGGACTGGTCAAGGGTCTTCAGGCCCTGGAGAAGGTGCATCGAGTAGAGGGGGCCGTGGGACTCCATGGCGAGGGACGGCCCAGCCGCCGTCGTCGTGGCCGCCGCCTCCTTTTCGGCCCGCTTCGGCCTGCCATTGCCCTTCTTTGCCGTTTGCGGCGGTGGCTGCTGCACCTGCTGACTGTCCTCGGAAATGCCAAGCTTCGCGACCATGGAGAAAACGTCGCGTTCCAGAACGTCCCACACCTCGACATCGGTGTTGCATTGGTCCAGGAGGGCTTGCAGCCTAACGATCTCGTGGGTCCGGATCTCGTTGTGGGCGGCCTCTAGCCTCGCGGCTTGTTCCCTCTCGGCCTCGAGGCCCGCATCCGGATCGTGATGCTGCTCTTCCGTCGCGAAGGAGATGCGAGAGGAGGACGAGTCGTCGCCCGGGGCCTCGCGCAATTCCAAGGCCGCCTGGGCCGCACGTCGCAGGGAGCGGGGAAACTTGCTCAGGATGGCGTCGCGGGGTCCAGACTCGCCCTCCTGGTGGTCGGCCGCGGCGGCGTGGGGGTCTAGGCGGCCGCTGCGTTTCGCAATGTCGGCAAAGATGTTTTGGAAGATGAACTTCTCGGTCGGGGTGATTGTGGACTTTTCAGGGTTGTTGAGGCCGCTGGGGATGTCGGGCTGTTCGTTGGCCGGGCTGTCCCATTCGAAGGGGATGCTCTGCTCGCCGCGGGTTCTGGGGTAGGCATGGGGACGGGTTGCGGATGTCGAGAGAGACCGGAGAGCCGCGGAGGCCCTAAGGATCGTCCTCGTTTGGTAGAGGAAGGGTGTCAGCGTGGTAGCAGACATGGCGAGCTGGGGGCAATGCGTCGTCGGTTGAATTGAAGCCTTTTGTTTTTTTGCGATCGCCAGATGCTGGCGATGCTTTACCGCGCACCTTTTGGTATTCCCTACCCGGGGAACAAAATTTCTATTCCCTGTCGGTACGTACCGTACCAGGACACTGGATGAGCTATACATAGTAGGTAGGTATTAGGGACTTACCCGAGGAAGTCCCCTAACTAATCCCTCGCTGACGTAAACAATCTGACGTAATCCATCTTTAACCCCCGGCAAAGGACGAGACGCGTTGCGACGCGTTCTTTGGTCAATTAAATGTCCGTCGCGATCAATTGCAGGCCTCGATGTCGGTTACACGCTTGCTTGCGAGAACCCATCCATCAATCACTTCAGATTGTCGAAACCGCGTCACTTTGCAACTCCTCGCAACCGTGTCAGATCTTGTCATTGGCTCCGTATATCCTATACATATCCTATTCAACTCACGTAAAGAACGACGCCTCAGCATCTCACCCTCAACCGAGTCACCCACACCAAACCTGCGTGGCGCATTCAGCGAGATCGCCCACGGCAATCAGAGTTGCGAGTTTTTGGCTCGTGTTTCCCGCGTAACCTCGGATTGAAAGTGTTGCCAATCTCTTACCGCCAATCTCTTGTCGCCAATCGCAACCATGCCGATCAAGAAGAAGGAGGAGCCCGAGGAGGCCATCAGCGCCTTTGAGCGGATGCGCCGGGAAAACATCGCCAGGAACCAGAGCATCTTGAAAGACCTGGCACATACTTCAAACAAGATAATGCCTGCGAAGCCAAAAGCTGCTCCGAAACCCCGGTCCGCTCCTGTCAAGAGGGAGGCGGCAGCTGCCCCCACCGGCCCTGTCCGTCGCAGTGCCCGCGTCGCCGGGCTCGACGCCGATAACGAGACGCTCAAGCGCAAGTACGAGGTCGAGATCGAGGACCAAGCTGCCAAGGAAAAGGCCAAGAGGAAGCGTGTCGGTGGCACCCTCAGCCTGGGCGACATCGCCGTCGAGGGCAAAAAGTTCAACAAGGGCATCGATGGCCTGGGTTCTCTGGTGCCCCGCGGCGCCCAGCCCGGTGTGCCGACCTTTACCGACGAGGATATCGAGAACACGTCCGACAAGGACCTCAAGGACCTGAGGAGGAAGATGGGGAAGTTGGACCTCTACGACAAATGGATCCCCAACGGTAGGCCCATGTCCTCGTATCGCCCGCGGGACTCGCTCTTTGCTAACGTGCTTGTAGACATCAAGATCTGCCCTCAACGGATATATGCTTCGACCTTTCACCCCACCGAGGAAAAGCCGCTCATCTTCGCCGGCGACAAGGAGGGAGCCCTCGGCGTCTTCGACGCCTCGCAGGAGGGCCCTCCGGAGAGCAACGACGAGGACGACGGCCAAGAGGTCGAGTGGAAGGAGCCCGAGATTGGCGCCTACAAGATCCATTCCCGCACAATCACCACCATCATCGTCTCGCCTTTCGACCACCAGAAAGTGTTGACTTCATCGTACGACTCAACCATTCGTGTTCTCGACCTGGCCAAGGATATGTGCGTCCCTGTCTGGGAGCCCGCGGACAAGGAGGAGGATGTCCCGCTGTCGGCCATCGACGTCCCCCTCACAGACAAGGACCTCATCTACTTCTCGACCCTGGGCGGCGCTGTTGGCAAGGTAGACACGCGAGACCCCAAGGGATTTGAGACGTGGCAGCTATCGGATAACAAGATAGGCGGCTTCTCTCTGAATCCCCGGGAGCCGCACCTGCTGGCGACGGCCTCGCTCGACCGGACCGTCAAGATCTGGGACCTGCGCAACATCAAGGGCAAGGGCGACATGCGTTTCCCCGCAATGCTCTACGAGCACGACTCGAGGCTCTCCGTCTCCCACGCCTCCTGGAGCCCCGGCGGCCAGATCGCGACGTCGTCGTACGACGACACGATCAAGATTTACGACTGGGCGGACCGCGACGCCTGGGACAACAGCGGCATGGAGCCCAAGGAGGTCGTCAAGCACAACAACCAGACCGGCCGCTGGGTCACGATCCTCAAGCCGCAGTGGCATAGGAGGCCCAGGGACGGCATCCAAAAGTTCGTCATCGGCAACATGAACCGCTTCGTCGACGTCTACGCCGCCAACGGAGAGCAGCTAGCCCAGCTGGGCGGCGACGGCATTTCGGCCGTCCCTGCTGTCGCCCAGTTCCATCCCACGATGGACTGGGTCGCCGGCGGCACCGCCAGCGGGAAGCTCTGCTTGTGGATGTGAGCCCTCGTCGTCGGCCATCGACGTGTGGTCAGGAACGGCCTTGTGTAAACTTGCTTGGATATAGGGGAGGGGGGAGGAGGGGGAAGGGGGGGTGACAAAACCCGTTCTTTGGACACGAATGTTTGCAAGAGAGGGAGGGTTTTGTGTCCACTGATGAAAGGGGAGGGGGGGGTGGTTTCCCGTCGCCAACGGACGGATAGGGTTCATTGACTTGGCTTGTGCTTTTTGCGAGGCGTTTGGGGATCGGTTGGGCCAACTTCGCAGTGGTAGCCACCACGGACTCAAAAAAGCATGGTGGATGAGGTTGTAAAGGCGGCACGCACCTTGATCTATGGCTATCTCAAGACATGGCATGAACATGATGGCCAGCTCGATTGATGTTGAAGACAGGGTATGTCGAAGAGGCACGTTCGGGGGATATGGGGATCTTGCGGCGATGTACTGGGTCTCCTCCGTCTGGATACTGCATTGCTAGATGTCGATTCGGAGAGAAAATAATGAAGGCCGTATTTGGACAACAGCTTTGAGTGTCTTTGCAGTGCCTGTGCTGTGTTGACACATTTTCTAATCATCTGCCATCAACCTTGAACCCCCGTGCAGAGTCGACGGGTCGCAAACTGCCAGAAGGGACGTGATGAGCCCAAAGTGTTCTTCCTGTATGCCAGTTCTAGGGCCTTGAAGGGCGGCAGCCTGTAAGAAATCTTTTCCACAATGAGGCAGCGTGTATACAGGCCGCGCGGGTGGGTTGTGTGATCGGTCAACCATGTTCGTAGGTAGAAATAACGGGAGCATCACTCAAGCCCAGACAGCCAGTCGGCTCATATATGCTTGGTTTTTATTGTTATCTAAAGACAAGCAGGTCAGCCGCAACGTATTCTGTGAACCGTCGGATGCGGATAAGCCGCCATGTTTGTTGGTTAAATATATTTAATCCAATATCGGGGGTATTTGAGTTATGGCGATTCAACACATTTCTATTTATGCTTGATGTCAAATGTTGGAAATAATTCACAACGTCACAAACAATTCGTCAACAGCACTTTTTGCCCCTTCTTTTTAAATTTAAATTTATTCTATACACACTCATGATCATTACGGTTAACGAAAGAACTAGATAGAGTGAGAAAGGGGTAGGGGCAAAAGCAGATGTCCTCCCGTGGCCCTCATCACTTCGTCGGCTGGAAACTCGACATGGGCCACCTCAGACGACCCGGTAGGCGTCGTAAACGACGGTGGCCCCCAGCCTGGCGCCGCTGCCGACCCACATGGCGGTGTTGACGAGGTCCCGGTACCTCTCGTCGCCCGTCTCCATCCTCACGCTCAGGCGGAAGCTGTACTCGTCGGGCGCGACGGCGTCGGCCCGGGCGGGGTCGAACAGCCTCTCCATGACGTCTCTCGGCCCCGTCCGCCACCCGGTGGTCCGCACGGCGATGTGGGCGGGGGCGTCGTCGTCGGTCCTGAGCAGGTAGGACGTCTCGACGGCGGTGCTCAGGCTCTCGGCGACGACGAGCTGGCTGTCCTGCCCGCCGGGGACGACGGTGCCGGTGCCCCACCGGGCCGTGAAGACGCCGCCGGAGAAGGAGATCCAGTTCCGCTGGCCAAAGGGGCCAACGCCGACGGGGACCAGCGGGTCGAGGTCGACGACGATGCGGAAGTCGAGGGCGAGGGACGGGACGGGGAGGGGGAGGGCGGCGCGGGTGCGGTTCGGCGGGAGGTTGTCCTCGCCGAAGGGTGTTTCTTGGTCACTAGGGCGGCGACGTTAGCCGCGGCGACTGTTGGGTGGTCGATCAGCAGAACGAGATGGGTTTTTACCTCATGTTGGGCTAGTCCTTGCGGGAGGGGGGTCTCAAGCCGTACTGGCGAGGCCCGGAAGGGGAGGGGGAGGGGGAGGGAGGGGAGGAGGAAGAAGAAAAGGAGGTGCTCGGATGGCGTCTGTTCGGGCGAGCACGACGGTCGACGGGCACGAATGGCACTGTTGAGTTGGGTGCAGGTGCTAATGGGCTCGATGAGATGAGATGACACGAGACGAGACGAGACGATGCGAAGACGCGTTGAGTTTATAGACATCACCGAGGCCGAGAGGCGGCCGAGGGTCGATCTCCCCCTCCCCCTCATGTCGTGGTAGTTTCGAGCCCCGCCGCCCGGCAGTAGCTCTCGGCCATGTTAACCGGCACTTCGGGCCCGGACCTCGGGTTCGCGGCGGGGTCGAGCGCAACGGGTGACGTACAGCCCCGGAGCAATCATGGATGCTTGCATGCATGGGTTCAAACAAAGTTCTGGTACGGATCCCCGAACGAGCGGTAGGGGGCATCCATCACTCACGCCGAGTGAGGAATAAACAAGCAGGCTGCAGGCTGGGGTACACGGGGGACTGGAGATGAGTTGTCATGTATCGTGGCATTCTTTTATCTTGTCACCTTGAACCAGAGCCTCCCTAGTTGAAGGGTACTTGTTGACATGGAGCTACTCTGTCGATCCCGTCGATGTCAAATCAAGACATCTCGAGTCTCGGAAAGCACACGGTCAGGGGGGGTTGTTTCCCAGTGATGTTGCTGTGGGAAGTTTGTTTTATTCCATATTCAATCCTGGTCTTGTTTGTTTATTTATTTTTTCCCTCGTCTTCAACGAAACATATGGAGCTTTGGGCGCGACTCTCTCAACAAAAGAGGAGACTCTGGAAAGTGGACGGGGGGCTGATCTGGGATGGGATGGGATGGCCCGCCCCCCTCCCCACGATGCGATCTGATTTCAGGGCGAAAAGGTCGTCCGTCGTTTGCGGCGCCGACTGAGCTGATGTCATTCTTGGCTTTGATTCATTCGCCTTCTCTTCTTCTTCTTCTTCTTCTTCTTCGCTATCTTGGTTCAAGGAGACTGAAATCGGAAGGCAGCACGTTAGTTATTCATCCCAAAGTAGAGTGGTTGCTTCTCAACGGACGGATATCATAAGGGCCCCGGGGCTGTCTGTCACGCCGTGTCTGGTGATGAAGATGTGCGGCTCACATGGCAGTCGGTGCCTTGTTGTCGAGATCTTGTGATGGGACCCGGATGGCGCATTCTGGCGTCATGGGGTGGGCTTATCGATAAGAGGCACTATCAGTGACCAATGAAAGACATGGGCCAGAGATAAGACCCACATCGGTGCACCACCTTTCGGTAGGTACGTACATCGTTGGTCGGTACGTAAGGACGGACCCCCACAGTCGCTGCTACCTGCCGCCTGCCACCCTGTGCGTGCTGTCGCTGCGGGAGGGAAAAAAGAAAAGAAAAAGGAAAAAGGGTGGGAAAGAGTCAGACCAGCAGCATCTCCTTCCTCTACCCTAGGTACGGAGTATAGGTAGGTTAGTAGGTAGGTGCCTCGAGCTTACCTAAGGTATCTACATGTACCTAGGTACCCAAGTCCCTCTAACCCTTCCTTTTCTTCTCCTTTATCTCTTACTCCTCCGCCGCCAGTACTCACTCGGCATGCAATGCGTCGGTTTTCTCTTTTCTGCCGATTTCCAGGGACCACCTCTCCTCGCTGCTGCTGCCAGCCGGGCCTCACTCGCACCTTATCTGCCGCGTCCAATGAGATGAGAGCCGGGAGAGAAAGAAAGGGACCATGCGCGGACCCCTGGACATTTTGTACCTGTCGCCTGTCCACACTGTCTGTACTGTATGCACGTCTGTCTCTCCTGCCGTCACCTCATTTTGATCTGCAAGTACGGATAGAGGACGCTCAAGACATGTCATGGACTGGAGAGATCAGGACTGTTGGATTCTCAGAGGGGTATGTGCATGTGTATGCATCTGTGAGGGTGAATGATGGTAGAGGTGAGAGAGACACAAGGTATGTGTGTATGTATGAGTGTGTCTGATGCTCCCGGACTCTGGCGCAAACAGTCCAAAGGTGAGCACGACAATGAGTGGACTGGACTGCATGCACTTGACATGCATCTGACCCTGCCTGCCTGCTGTTTTGCTCATCCCGGCTCGTCCGAATCCCCAGGTTTCCCTCCCTTCTCTCTCTCTCTCTCTCTCTCTCTCTGTGTGTGTGTGTGTGTCCGTCCGTGTCTCCCTGTCTCTCTGTGTTTCCCTCCTCTCACTCTCACTTCACCCACTCACTCAATCACTCATTCTCTGCCTCGCCGGAAGTTGCTTTTTCCTATTCAAAGGTAGACCAAGTTACACCATCTATCAGGTACCTACCCACCTACCTACTCACCTACGTAACCTCAGCCATTCCATCATCTCTGCCTTACGGCAGCAGCCTGGTCGAGGACGAATCAATGTCCCGAGAACCTCCATCTTTTCCGACGTTTTGGTCTCACTCAATATCAAGCTTTCCTCTAATTCATTGATTGCAACCTGTTAATTTACCATTACCACCTATCGAGCCTACTGCAACCTACCTTACCTAGGTACCCGACCTTAATCGCCTAGTCCCTGAGCTTTGTCCGTCTGCCTACCTTTTCCTATTCGAGGTAACCTCCTCGGCCTTGCCTTTTGCTGCTCGCCTCGCCTTCGCCTCGCCTCGTCTTACATAACCCCCTTTTCAACTCGTTTGTACCAACCGATTCTTGCTTTTGCTCAAAGACACCGACCGATACCTACATACCTACACACCTACATAACATACCTGGGTACACGGTACCTGTCACCTGCTTCTGGCCGCAACAAACAAGTCTGTCTGCATCTTCATCCTCAAACAAACCCACGACAGTCCACCTCCCCCCCATATCGGCCGTTTGGCTTGCTTCCTTGTCCCCCATCCCGCAACTCTCCGGTCGACCTCGAAACCTTATCGCCGCCGCACGAATGAGCCCGCTCTAGCCAAACTCAACTCCCGCTCCGCCCCTCCGTCCGACTCATCCTCTTCCCACCCCTCCTCCTCTCTCCTCCACCTCTTGCGTCGCTCGGTCCTCCCCCCGAAAAAATAAACCTAGAATCCCAACGACTGCCGAGCTTGTCGAACCCGAACGAACCTCGCCCTTCACCCGCCGCCTAAGCCTTGAACGTACTGCCCGCTCAACCACCCCCGCCGACCCAGCGCAACCTCGATAGCCATGGCGACGCCAGGCCCCGCGGGTGCCGCGAGCGTCAGCTTCGGCGCAGACGACGAGGTCAAGAAGCGCGTCGGCAAGAAACTCGTCAAGAAGCGCTTCGAGACAAATGCCCCAGCCATCGAACTGCCCGAAAGGTTAAAGGAGGGCGACGATAGCAGGGAGGAGGACCTGGTCCCGACACAGGGCCCGCCCATGTTCATGAACATGAACCAGTCCATCTTCGGCCTCATCGCCGCCGCCGGCTCCCGTGTCGACTTCCACGACCGCTTCGAGTCCAGCGACGACGACAGCGGTGACGAACCCGATCACGACCGCCAACGCGACGCCCTCGACGACAAGAGCCGTGGTCTCGCCCATCTTCTCCATCGCAGGCAGCGCCGTCCCGACGCCCCCCAGCCCGACCTCTCCAAGACCACCGTCCTGAAAAAAGATTCCTCCTCCTTCTCCTCCAAGAGCGAAAAGCACCGCCGCAAGATCTCCGGCTCCAAGCTACTACGCTCCCTGCCCGCCCTCCCGCGCCTGCCGCGACACAAGTCCAAAAAGGAGAAATCCAATCTAAAATCTCCCTCCTCCGATGAAGTCACCCACCCCTTTGAAGCCCGCCCGTCCCAGCCCACCGACCATATAAGAGAGGAGGAGGAGGGGGAGGAAGAAGAAGAAGAAGAAGACGACGAGGATGGTCGAGGCCACCGCCTTGCCCCGGTCATGAGTAGGATGCTGGAAGCCAAAGCCGAGATGTCCGCTAGACCCAGCTTCGACATCGATCGCCTCTCCGCCGACCAGCTCACCTACAGCGATTCCGCCGAATCCAACTCGACCGCCCTGGCCCGTCGCCTGCAGGACATTTTCGAGTTTGACCACCCAGAGGCTGTTATAGAGGGTACGCCGCCCCCCCGGCCCCCCCCTTCCCTCTCCCCCCTTCCCTCTGCCCTCCCTTTTAACGCTGCCATGCGGTTCGCGCGCACGTGCATGCTGTAGCTGACATCCGACAGAATACCCGTGCTGGCTGCTCCAGAGCGTTCTCCTCCAGGGCTACATGTACATCACGGCGAAGCACATCTGCTTCTACGCTTACCTCCCCAAGAAGGCGGTACGTCATCGACCCTCCCTTGTCTCGCTTTGCAGGCACTCACTCACTAACCCGTGCAGCACGAGGTCGTCAAGTCGGGCTATCTGTCCAAGAGCGGCAAGCGCAATCCCAAATACAACCGATACTGGTTCCGCCTCAAGGGCGACGTTCTGGCATACTACAAGGACCCTTCCAACGTCTACTTTCCGAGCGGCCAGATCGACCTCCGCTACGGCATCTCGGCCAGCGTCAACGATAGGAACGACGGCCTTGGCTTCACCGTCGTCACCCATCACAGGACATACCACTTCAAGGCCGACAGCGCCCCCAGCGCCAAGGAATGGGTCAAGAGCCTGCAGAGGGTCATATTCCGATCCCACAACGAGGGCGACAGCGTCAAGATATCGCTGCCGATTGAGAACGTCATCGACATCGAGGACACCCAGATGCTCGAGTTCGCCGACACGTGCAAGATCCGCGTCATCGACAACGACGAGACGTACGCCATTGACGAGTACTTCTTCTCCTTCTTCAGCTTCGGCAAGGACGCCATCAACGTCCTCAAGATCCTTATCGAGGATGCCTCGTCCAGCGCCAGAGATGCGGCGAGGCTCAAGGCCACGCAGGAGCATGAGGAGAGGCAGCAGCAGCAGCAGCAGCAGCAGCAGCAGCAACCGGTGGCCGCCTCGGCGCGCAGTTCCACGAGCGTAAGCAGACGCCCCACGGCGCCGCTCAAGCTCAGAACCAACAAGCTTCCCGATGCCGTCAAGGCGACCCTTTCGCCCCTGTCTACCCACAGCCCCTCGACTCTCAGCCCGCGCGCCAGTATGGATGCCGCGCACGCCAGCTTTGACGCCTTTAGGGGTTTCCGTCGGAGAAGTCTGGACCTGTCGACCATCATCCGTGATTCCTCGCCCCGGCGCAGCTTCAGCGGTAACAGGCGCTCGATGAGCAGAAACCGACTGGACGAATCCCGCCATACGCCGCGCAACCAAGGTTCCACCGACTCATACGTACAGTCTTCCATGGAGGACCCGAGCTTTTCCGGGATGGTGGCCTCGTCGAGCGAAGATCCTTCAGCGAGCCAGATCCTGCGGCGCAGCGACGTCTTCCAAAACCCTACGATGCACCGTTCGGCCTCGGTCTCTCGCACGGAGCTGGAGAAGAACCAACAACGGGAACCCAGGAGCCCCCCCGCCCTGGCCGCCTACAGCGGGCAGCGTGCAGCGACCACCGGCTCCATCAACGACGGGGACAAGCCCCCGGCGACGCCGACCCTGCAGACCATCACGAAGATGGGTGCCTTCCCGTTGCAGCGCGTGGGCGCCTTTGCCGAGTACCTCAATAACACCGGCAGTAAGCTGGGCTCGATGCTTGCCACGGAGTCCATGGGCTATGTGGAAAAGGTGTCCGGCATGTGGCGAGGCGGTCGGAAGCACTATGACGCTCCGCCGGAAATCAAGACGGACGATGAGGACCTCTACGAGGATGCCGAGGGCAAGATCCAGACGTCCATGGATCGTTTCCGCGCGCACTTCGCGCTGCCCGAGACGGAGAAGCTTCAAGCGACCTACTTTGGCTACATTCTGCGTGTTCTGCCGCTGTACGGCAAGATCTACATCAGCGACAAGTCGTTCTGCTTCCGGAGCCTGCTACCGGGGACGAGAACGAAGCTCATCCTTCCTCTGAAAGACATTGAGAACGTGGACAAGGAGAAGGGTTTCCGGTTCGGCTACTCGGGCCTCGTGATTGTCATCCGAGGTCACGAGGAGGTCTTTTTCGAGTTCGGCCAGGCCGAGCTCAGAGACGACTGCGCCGTCACGCTGTTGCAGAGCTTGGAGACAACCCGCTATCTGAAGGAGACGGGAGACTTGGACATGGAAGAGAAGGAAGAAGAGGAGAACGCCATGGCCGAGCGCGACGCGTTAAAGGAGGCGCGCCAGGTCGAGGAGTTCCACGACCACGAGCTCCGCCTGCCAAAGGAGTGCGCAGGTGCCAGCGACGCCCCGACGATCCTGTTCGACGACCCCAAGGCTTCGTTCCTCAACTTCAAGCCGTCCCACTCGATGAAGATCACTTGCCTGACGATCGGCTCCAGAGGCGACGTCCAGCCCTACATTGCCCTGTGCAAGGGCCTGATCGCAGAGGGCCACAAGCCCCGCATCGCCACCCACGCCGAGTTCAAGGACTGGATCGAGGGCCACGGCATCGAGTTTGCCAAGGTCGACGGCGATCCCGGCGAGCTCATGCGGCTCTGCATCGAGAACGGCACCTTCACCTGGGCCTTCTTGAAGGAGGCGAATTCCATGTTCCGCGGCTGGCTGGACGAGCTGCTGGTGTCGGCTTGGGAGGCTTGCCAGGGCTCGGACCTCCTCATCGAGAGCCCCAGCGCCATGGCCGGCATTCACATTGCCGAGAAGCTCTCGATCCCCTACTTCAGAGCCTTCACCATGCCCTGGACCCGAACCAGAGCCTACCCCCACGCGTTTGTTATGCCCGAATACAAGATGGGCGGCGCGTACAACTACATGACCTACGTCATGTTTGACAACATTTTCTGGAAGGCCACTGCGCACCAAATCAACCGCTGGCGCAACAACACGCTCAAGCTGCCCAACACCAGCCTCGAGAAGATGCAGCCAAACAAGGTGCCGTTCCTCTACAACTTCTCCGAGTACGTCGTCGCACCGCCGCTGGACTTTTCGGACTGGATCCGCGTCACCGGGTACTGGTTCCTGGACGAGGGATCGGATTTCCGGCCGCCCAAGGAGCTCACCGACTTCATCGCCAAGGCGAGGGCGGACGAGAAGAAGCTCGTGTACGTCGGTTTCGGCTCCATCATCGTCAACGACACGGCCAAGATGACGCAAGAGGTCATCGACGCCGTTCTCAAGGCAGACGTCCGCTGCATCCTGTCCAAGGGCTGGTCGGACCGCGTAGCCAAGGCGGAGGACGCGGGGGGCGCGAAGAAGGACGAGCCGGTCATGCCGCCCGAGATCTTCGTCATCAAGAGCGCGCCGCACGACTGGCTGTTCTCGCAGATTGACGCAGCGGCGCACCACGGCGGATCCGGCACGACGGGCGCCAGCCTCAGGGCGGGCATACCCACCATCATCCGACCGTTCTTCGGCGACCAGTTCTTCTTTGGTGCTCGCGTGGAAGACATTGGTGTCGGCATCTGCTTGAAGAAGTGGGGGGCGGTTTCTTTTGCCCGCGCCCTCTGGGAGGCTACGCACAACGACCGCATGATAGTCAAGGCCCGCGTGCTCGGCGAGCAGATCCGCAGTGTAAGTCCAATGCCATCCAACTCCCTCCTCTCCTCCCCTCCCCTCCCCGGCGAAGACGTTTGTAGGTGGCGTGGCGTGCGCGCTGACACACGACAGGAACGAGGCGTGGAGAACGCCATCCAGTGCATCTACCGCGACATGGAGTACGCGACAAGCTTGATCAAGAGAAAGGCGGGCAAGCATGCGCACGCCGAAGAGTACGACGACGAGGAGGAGGCCGAGGAGAGCTGGACCTTTGTAGGAAGCGACGAGCCAGACCCGGACATGACGACCAAGAAACTGTCAGAGATGGGAGGGGTCCCCGGGTTGCCGGAGCCCAAGCCCATCGGCAACAGAGCGATGCGCATGTCGCCCTCGGCTTCGCAGCAGCAGGCAGTCTAGGAGACCGACGAGCAGCTGCTCCGGGAGGCGCCGGAGGACGGCAGGGGACGCGACCCAGATCCAGAGCCGGCATCCGAGGTGGATGACCTGGATTCCGACTGGGATGACTTTGGAGACTCGGAGACTTTAGTGGACTAAATGAATGGGTCATTTCGGTGAGCGAACGGGTGAGGCGTTTTTTTTTTTTCTTTTTTTCTTTTTTCAACGGCTTACAGGAAATGGGCGAGGGCTTTGCTCTTACACGCCGTGTCTTTTATCTGGATCGGAGTCAGCGGGTGGGCGAGGGGGAGTTGGCTTGGATGATGAGCCCCCGGGGAAGGGAAGTCTACGATGGGGTTTGTGGCGTGATCAGAAGGCACCAGGGACACGGAAGGACGGCGGGCGTTACCCACGGATAGAAGAGGACCATTAATGCTCGATCACGATGACTTTTGTTTTTGTTCTGGCGGGTGATGCATGGGAGAGGCTCGGGAGGCTGTAGAATATGGGACGATGGCCACATGACTGTATGACACTGGACGCCAACTCGGCCATGGCGTGGCAATGATGAGACTTTTCTCTTTCTTTTTCTTTTGTTTTTTTCTCTCTATTCCAAAAGATTTTTCTGAAGATACACGAAGAATGAATGCTGCCGTTATCTGTATGTGATGTGGCGTGGCGTGGCGACCAAGACTGATGGAAAGCAAAGGCGCCCCCGTGTCTACGGATCGTCTGCGGGCACAAACACGGCTGCTGCATGTTGGCCCGGTTGGATGTCTTGAATGCCCTCCCCCCCCCCCCACCGCCCTCGGGACCCCAGACTGTCGCAGCGGCCCACGGGGAAGGAGGATGGGGCGAGTGTGGTGGTTAATAAATAAAATCAGGAGAGGTCTGGAGAGAGGGTGATTGCTCATGTGAGAGGCCGCGTTCACGCCACTTTGTTTGTTGGACGGGGAAAAATGTTGGCTGACATGTCTTGTTTTTATTATTTTACTTTATGGCCAGACCACATACACACACACACACACACATACATCCATAGCTTGTTCCTAGGGACGCATGATGGACGGATGGGTAGGAAAGGTGTGCAAGTAAGTAGTATGAGGCAAAAGAGGCACGGCGGAGGAACGGGAACGTGGGGAAAGAGAGAGTGACTGACTGACTGAGTGAATGAGTGAGTGGGTGAGGGGAGTGAGGTAGTGAGTGAGTGAGTGAGTGAGTGAGTGGATGGGAATGACAAGGGGCGGGAAGAGGAAGAGCCAGCTGTCCCCCGGCTGGCGCCACTTGCCAGAGCCCGGAAAGGCGGCTGAGCAGGTACAAATAGGGCCTCTTATCCCACTCTTTCAGAAGGGGGAAGGCGCTGAGGTGACAGCAGTGGTTGACGGACACCACCCCCATCGCGTCGCATCGCCTCAAGTGTCTGTATTTGTACCTTTTTTCCTCTTCCCCCCCCCTTCACCGAGACAAATCGACTACACACACACGCGCTATACATACAAGACAGACTTGCAACAAATAATCAACCAACTCGACCACATCTGTGTAAAGCCAAAGCTGTGTACAGACAAACTGTGTACAAATACACATACACACACATACACAACAGGACCTCGACCTCGGTACCTCGTCCGGCCAAGAAAAGGTACTTACGCTACTCTACTCTACTCTACTTACTCACCTTGCTCTTTTGCCACGCCACGTCCCATCCATCACATCACATCGCATCAACAGTGCACAAACGGACGGCCACTGCCGGGAGAGGCGCAACCTAACCTGGCTCAAGCACCTGCCATCTCTCCCCTTTTACGTGTACATGTACGCTACACACACCATCTCACCTCCCTACCTAGTACCGTGTACACTCTCTACCCACACCGGGCCCACTATCTGCGGTGGTACTCAGTACACACCTATACCTACCTAGCACAAGCACACAGTACCTTCCCCCGGTATACCGGAATAACCACTCTCCGTGTCCCGGGATCCACCCGGAGCTTACCTGGTCTGTGCACCCGCCAGATCCAACCCCACTCCGTTCTGCCTGGGTTCCCCCGGTTGACTCGTCCTCACCGGGCCCGTCACCTTTGCCTTACCTTGCCTTTACCTCCCGTGTGCGTCACGGTTCGGCCCAGATCTGACACTCTCACTCACTCTCTCTCTCTCTCTCTCTCTCTCTCTCTCTCTCTCTCTCTCTCTCTCTCTCTCTCTCTCTCTCTCTCTCTCTCTCTCTCTCTCTCTCACTCTCGCATTCTCCACTAGCAGTTCCACTAAGTCCCCGAGCTCCAAAGCCTGCGCCTCCTCCTCCTCCTCCTCCTCCTCTTTCGCCCCCCTTCAATACGCCCGAGAACCGCAGCTGGAAACGTCGCCCTTACGCATCGCATCGCGTCAAGCCCTCCCTCTTCCCTCCTCAACCACCAGCACCACCAGCAGACACGGACAGACACAAGCTCACTCTATCGGTATTTTATTTCATTTCAGGAACTCGACTTTTCCCATCCAATTGCACCGTATCACCAAAAGTCAATTGCGCTCGAAAACCACCTGGGAGATAGATAAGATACCTATCTCTATCTGAGCTCGCATCGCAAACCCCCCCCCCCGTCCAACACCCCCCGTATCGTCTCGTCTCGTCCCGTACTTGGTCTCCACGCAACTCTACGGTACACGCGTCGGATTCTCGCCCATTTTCTTTCTCTTTTTTCCCTCTTTCCCAATCGCCAGCCACATCAACCAACGCAACCCTTTCCCTCTGGCAACCCCTGCACGCATCCTGTCCTCAACGCTACGCAACGCAACGCAACGACCCAGAGCTCTTCCTCCTGTTGCGTCCCTTTTCCTCCTTTCCTCGCTGTAGCTAGCTTCGGGGCAATGGGACTGGCCACCGTACCGGCACCTTCTCTGATCGTTACTGGGGGACTCTCATTACTAGGTTCGTCGCATCTCCCCTCCCTCTCTCTCTCCTCCGACCTTCGATATGTCACCAGACCTCTCGTCGCGTCTGTTGTCGCCTCTGCTGCTGCTGCTGCTGCTGCTGCTCTTGCCGTCGTCGCCGTCGCCGTCGCCGCCTCAACCCAACCCTCCCCTTTGCATCTCATCCATTTCTGTCTCTCACGCGTGCCCGCGCGTCTCGAAGCCCACGGCGCTGACCCATCTTCATCTTTTGTCGCGACAGACTTCTAGGCAATCCCTCCAGTAGCCTGCCATCACCATGGGCAAGCTACTCTCACTCGGCGCGAGGCTGCGCTACCCGATTACCGTTACGAAGCTACTCAAGAGCCCTGGCGATACCATCAAGAAGCAGGAAAGCATCCTGGAATACTCGTACAAGTCCATGCGCGAGTACGGCGACCCCATCGCCGGCGAAACTTGGCAAGAGGAGGTCACCACTATCGCCGGCTGGGATAGCCCCGCCGAGGGCACCCTCAAGGAATGGCGCCTCAAGGAGGGCATGACCCTCACGCGCGACGCCCCCTGTATGCTCGTCGAGGAGGCCTGCTCCCACGAGATCCAGTTCCAGGGCCTGTGTGCCATCTGCGGCAAGGACATGACCGAGGTCAACTGGGCCAGCGACCAGCGCGACACCCAGCGCGCCACCATAAACATGACCCACGACCAGACCGGCCTCATGGTCAGTGGCGACCTGGCCGCCCGCGCCGAGCACGAGACCCAGAAGCGCCTCCTGCGCCAGCGCAAGCTGAGCCTCGTCGTCGACCTCGACCAGACCATCATCCACGCCTGCATCGAGCCCACCGTCGGCGAGTGGATGGAGGACCCGTCCAATCCAAACTACCAGGCCGTCAAGGACGTCAAGAAGTTCCAGCTCAACGACGAGGGCCCTAGAGGAATGGTCACCTCGGGATGCTGGTACTACATCAAGATGCGGCCCGGCCTCGCCGAGTTCCTCGAAAAGGTCGCCGAGCTGTACGAGCTCCACGTCTACACCATGGGCACCCGCGCCTACGCCCTCAACATTGCCAAGATCGTCGACCCCCACCAGAAGCTGTTCGGCAACCGCGTCATCAGCCGTGACGAGAACGGCAGCATGATTTCAAAGAGCCTCCAGCGGCTGTTCCCCGTCAACACGAACATGGTCGTCATCATCGACGACAGAGCTGATGTCTGGCCGAGCAACCGACCCAACCTCATCAAGGTCGTGCCCTACGATTTCTTCAAAGGCATCGGCGATATCAACTCGAGCTTCCTCCCCAAGAGACAGGACATCCTACCCGCTCCGACACCCGAGCCCGAAGCGACGGCCGCGCCGGAAGCGCTCAAGCCTGTCGACGCCAGGCCCGAGGGTACGCAGCAGCAGCAGCAGCAGCAGCAGCAGCAGCAGCCGAACGGCAAGGTGTCAGCGCTGGACGAGCTTGTCAAGATGAGCAGCGGGGACGACAAGGTGCTGCAGGCGGCGCAGACCGGGGAGCAGGAGAAGCTGCTGGAGCAGCAGATCATGGAGAGGCCCCTCCTCCACATGCAGGAGGAGCTGGACAAGCAAGACGAGCAGAAGGGGAAGGCCACGCTAGACACGGAAGACGGCCCGCACATCATGACGGTGCAACACCGGTCTCAGGTTCTCCGCGACGACGATGCGGAGCTCGTCTACCTGCAACAACACCTTGCCGAGCTTCACCGCAAGTTCTACGAGGAGTACGATGAGAAGCGCGCTTCTATGCCGGCCCAGCCCGCTTCGCGCAACAAAAAGACGGGCGGCGGCGGCGGCGACGACAACATTGACCTCGCTGCGGTTCCGGATGTCGGTTTTGTCCTCGACACGATGAAGGCCTCGACGCTCCAAGGCACCACCATCGTGCTGTCCGGCCTGGTCCCGCTGGGCGTGGACGTTCTGCAGTCCGAGATTGGCATCCAGGCCATGAGCTTCGGCGCTCAAATATCCACAAAGGTGTCAAAGAAGGTCACCCACCTCGTCATATCCACGTCACGGCCGCGGACGCAAAAGGTCAGGCAGGCCGCCAAGATTCCGAGCATCAAGATTGTCAGCCAGAACTGGCTGACGGACTGCCTAAGCCAATGGCAACACGTCGACGAGACACCGTACCTCGTCGAGGTCCACCCGGCAGACCGACGCCACCATGCGGCTTCCGAGACGACGGATGCCGACACGGTGTCTGACGTGGACGACGACGACGACGACGATCTTTCTAGGCCGCATCTGACCATCATCGACGAAACAGGGGAGCACCGCATCCTCGAAGAAGACGACGACGCCTCGGACGAAGACGACGGCGACCAGGACGGGGACGAAGACAACCTGATGCCTGATTTCGAGGACGGCCAGACCAGCCCGATAGACGACCTCAAAACATTCGACTGGGAGGGCGTCGACGACGAGATGAAGGAGTTCCTCGGCAGCGACGACGACGACGACGACGACGACAGTTCGGACGCAGACACGGAGAGTCGCAGCGGCGACACCGAGGTTGGCGACGAGCCGCCGTCGTCCCAGGACTCGGCGAACGGGGTCACCGGCGGCGGCGGCGGCGGCGGCGGCACTAAAAGAAAAGCAATGGACGACGACACGGCGTCGGACGAAGGAGGGAGCGCGCTCTCCAAGAAACAGCGCGTGGCCAAGAGCCGCGGCGCCTCCAAGCTGAGCTCCGTCAGGACGCCCAACGCCGAAGACAACGAGTCGAGCAGCCTGCCCACCCCTCAAGTCACGGGCGACGAGGAGGACGTCTCGCTCGTGCCCGACAGCGCCGCAGCGGAAGGTGGCGACGACGACTTTGACGAGGACGATCTCGAGGCCGACCTCGAGGCCGAACTAGCGGCTGCCGGGGAGGACTAGTAGCAAAACTCCTCCCCGACGAGCCCAAACGCCGTCGTCGGTCCGTCCACAACTGCATGCATGTAAACGCAACTGGGCGGACGCGGTGGAGGGGGGTGGTTTTCTCGAAGGGGTCTTGGCAGTGGTGGAAAAGTTGGTTGGCTCTGGTTTGTTCGGTTTATACCCAGCCTTTCCGTTGGCGAAGCATGGCATGGAGTTGAGATGTGCAAATACTTTGTAGGGTTCATATGCTAGTATGGTTACTATTATTATTATCATTATTTCTTGGGAGGGGGGAATGGCGAACTAGACGATAAGATGTCGGATTGGACATGTTGTAAAGCCTAGAACCATGAGTTCATTCAGATGATCCCAAGTATGTGTGCGATCCCGTCAACGTGGTGACTTGTGTGGTGAGTACGGTTCCAGGTGTGTGCCGGTGTGTCCCGCCGTACCTTTCTCGGTGTGCTCGGCCAAAGTGGACCCGACGGTGTGTGTGTGTGTGTGTGTGTGTGTCCTTACATAAGCGGGCAGCCCAATTGAGCGAATCACCGTCGACGGGAAAACAATCACACCTCAGGCAACACCTTCCCAGTCCCTCCCAAAGCTTGAACCGCGAGAGCTCCTCGACGACGACAACGACGACGACAACGACGACGCCAATCGCGCACGCCCCCTTATTCGCTGCAGTCGAAGCGACGTCCCGATAATTCGAAAGGAAGAATTCGTCCTCCTCCCCCTCAATTGGACCCCCCCCCACCCCCCCAGCCGTCCCGACGGAGAGAAAGGGACCGAGAAAACAACAACCTTCACCTTTACAAAACCCGAGCGCAAGCCGACCGCGCTGGGTCGGTAGGAACGAATTGAGCCAAGATGCCTCAGGATATGCCGCCCGTGGGGGGATACCAGGCTGTGCAGTATAAGGTGAGTCGAGGTGATTTCCGCCTTCCTGGCGAGTTGGGGGGGCGGGCGAGCATTGGGTGTAGGGTGCCAGGGCATAAGAGAGGCGGATCGGAGGCAGGAGGAAGCTTCGGGGACGATAGAGCGGACTCGGAAAGGGGGACAGAGAGGAAAGATGTATGGGAGCGGTGTCGTGCGACGGGCCTTCTGCTGGAGGGCGCTGGGTGGACTGGCACAGCAGATGGCTTCGTGGTAGGGTTGTCGGGAGGCACCGGGCGAGAGACCACACCGATGGATGCGACGAGGACTTTTGTTCTGTTTCTCTTTTTCTTCTACACTCCGTGGAGGGAATAATGCTGATCATCCTGGGGGAACACAGCGCAACCTGCCCGCCCGTGGATTCCGCCCCGGCACGATGTTGCTGGGCATGGGACTGGTGATGGGATACGGATGGTACCACCTGATCAAGGGTATCCGCGAAGCCAAGTACGTTTTTCCCCACCCCGTACACGGGAGAGAGAGGGAGGGAGGGAAAACACCCGAGCTGGGGAACATGAATGTGCTGACCGGTCGCAGCGAGCTCGCGAGAGAGAAGATGTGGGCGCGCATCCACCTCGTCCCCCTCCTGCAGGCCGAGGAGGACCGCGACCAGGTCCGCAGGTGGTACGCCGACCAGGCGAGAGAGAAGGAGCTGCTGGGCGAGAACACCAAGGTCTACCACTCTGACAGGTACGTCGACTTTCTCCGTTTTCCGTTTTCAACACCCTTTCACGTATCTTTTGGATATCACCCTGTGGAAGATTTCCATGTCCGAAGGGAGAAAGAGGCCGCGACTGACGGCAGCGTCACAGATTCGTCCGGCCCACTTTCGCCGTTACGCCTTCAACCAAGAACTAGATATTGCCCCGTCACATGATGAGTCGGAGGGGGGGAGGAACGCTGCCGGGGGAATACCCTGGGACGGTTTGAGGGGAGAAAGAGCCGGCGAGACGCTGGCGTGTGTATACATGCTATCTTTTTTTTTTTCTCTCTTCCGGCAACGGAGAGAGAA